TTAGGAATTGGAATTTTTAGGAATTTTTTTATTTTTAGGAATTGAATTTTGAATTGAATCAGGAATCGAATCAAATTTCATTGGATTTTCAGTTCCGGTCAACTTGAATCTTTTGTTTTTCAGTTATCAAAATGATTGAAACTACTAGATTTTGTCTCCTAGGTGATACAGTTTTGAGCGTTTTTGGGAACGACTCAATAGTTCTGATTTTTACCCTGGGATATTTTTGTTTTTTTGGTTTTTTTTTCGAATTACCTTACCTGTTTCAGCAGAGCTTGTGAGCGCACCATCGCCCAGTGGAATGTATTTGGTAGCATTATAAGCTAAAATTTGCTCTTCAAGACTTTCGAGTCGATAGAATCGAGCCTCTTCTCGTAGCCTGGTTAGGTTATGAAAGTTATCCGGTAAAATGAGCTTTCCCAGTCGTAAATATTCCAAAACGTAAGCGAACAGAAATCCATCGCGGTCAATGAAAAAAGTGCCATCGGGCAACACAAGAATGGAGTTTTCAAGACCCTTGAATTCCAGACATAACATCTGCGTAAAAATCGAATTCTCTTCTCGAAGAAGAGTTTGCCTTGTTGTTGAAAATAAACTGCCACCTACGTTGAGACGAATAATCGGCGACGTAGATGGCGGCAAATCATTACCGATAACAGCGTCTGTCGTCATCCTGTAGCAGACTGCGAAAGCGCAGAGTTTTGTCCAGGGATTTGGGGTATTTTCAGTTTGAATAAGCTCAACTTTCTGGATTAGAATTACTCAGAAGCTGAAGGAAATTTCACGTATTTTTCGCAACACAGCAAAGCTGCAGCAGTAAGTAAACTGGTCAAAGTTGTGTTGCGTTTTGTTGGGCGAATAAGGGAGTGAAAGCCGGAGGACTGGAATATCGTGCATGTGCTACTGGCGATGCTGCCTCGGCGGCAGTTGGCGCAATGATGGATGAAGAAGTTGAGGAACAGGGAATGAATAAATGATGCTGTTAGCAGTGACGATGACGCCGATAATAGTGTTGACGTTGATGATGATTGTGACTGTGATGTTGGTATTGGTGGCGATGACGATGATGACGGTGATGGTACTGGTGAATGAGTGGCAGCTTCTTTGATTGGGGCCACTTTTTGTCCTAAAGCGAT